CAATACCCACTTTCTAGCTTCTCTTTCTGAATAACAGCATACAAGAGTAATACAAACAGTGGCATCAACCGTTACTAACAACGTACAATGAAATCCTTCCCTATATTGCTGTAGGTATATATAATTACATAAGCTCTAATGATGGCAACAGATTTTGCAAAAACTAGTTGACTCGTGTTTTTTTTTATCAATAAATATTTTATAAGGCTTACAAACGTCATTTGCGTGGTTTTACAGATAAACAGCCCTATGCCCTTTAGAACGTAATATAATATAATTACATAACTACCATCACTCAAAGAAAATAAATTGGAGGTAAAATCACTAGTTATAAGAACAGGCATATTAACTGCCTGAATAATAAAGCAGATGTTATTAAAACTATGCTGTATCACATGCAATAGGATATATAGCTAATGCTACTTAATTGGCTTGTTTCAACAGAAAAAAAAGTATATTACAGCGATGACTAAATTAAACATTTCAAAACAAGGGATCCACATAAGCCACAAACTTATATATATATATATATATCCCTGCTCCGTTACTCATCGCCCGTTTATTCTAGTCCTACGAGGTTTACAAATTATTAACAAAGCTGCAATTTTTATTGATTTTGCGAAGCACTTGCTTTAATTTCATACCAATTACTAGCTCCCATTAATCCTCGTTCAACAAGCCTCCCTGTCTGGACAGCAGGCATGGAGGAGACAAATGGGGAGGAGGGAGAAGGCATAATTAAAAAGAAAGGAATTTTCATGCGCGTCAAACAGAGACCGTTGGGATAGATATAAAATGTTGATTGGTGCAGAAACGAAGTGATTATTCCATTGCAACGCTTGATATTGACACTGGAAGGAACGTTGAAAAATGTAACGTATTTTTTTATGTTGAACACCAAATTCTTTATATGTTTGCACTTCTTTTTTCATAACTCTATACCGATTTGTCTCCGACATCTATATAACATGTAACACTGACATGAATAGCTTTCTCCAACACTGACATAGATGGGCTGATGACAGCTGATACAGTAGCATTCAATTGGCCGTGGTAAAGGTTAGCTGGGCTGATACAGTAGTATTGAACTGGTCGTGGTAAGGGTTAGTTGGGCGGATGAGAGCTGATACAGCAGCACTCAGCTGATCGTGGTAAAGGTTAGCTGGGCTGGTGAGATCTGATACAGTAGTATTCAACTGGTTGTGGTAAGGGTTAGCTGGGATGATGAGATCTGATACAGTAGTATTCAAATTATCGTGGTAAAAGGTTTGTTCTACAATGTGAGCAATGTTTCACATTTTGAACATTATACCATAATAAGGTAAACAAATCTGAGTGTTCAATCTAAAGGCTCAAGCGTTCTGTATTAGCAAAAGAGCAAAAAGCTGTGCGTTTAAATAAAGTGTACAACAAATATTCGATATTCTTTTTTTACAATTTTTACATCACTGGACTTCATAACACTAATCTATTAAATATTTCATAATCACATACTTATCTACCAAACCCTTCTACACTCCATCAAAACGTCGATAAAATTGTTTAAATTCTTAAATAACTGAAATAAGAATAAACATCAGTAAAAAACAGAGTTAAAGAAAAAAAAGAGTAATTATTTTAATAATCTTATTTTGTTATCGTTTTGAAAATGAAAGAAAATACATGTTTTCTTTTCTTATAAACCAGAAACATACCCACGTCATGTCTAGCCATTCTATAATTTGAATACAAAACGTGGTTTCAGCATGAAAGTAACTAAGGTGAAATCTTTTTTTTGTTGTCCTCCAGTATTATGTCAAATGCTATGTTCATCAACAAACATACAGTACTGTATTATACTGCTAATAGAGAAGAAGAAAAACACTATCCTATACACTGCAAGTAGAAGGAAAGATGATACATTACCAGTTAAAGGAGACCGACATATACGCATCGCCGTATACTACTAATGGTGACCATAAAACACACGCACATCACAGCTAAAGACCGACAAATACAGTGCTTGAAGTAGGGTAAAATAGGAAGCAGGATGGTTTGTGAAAGTTTTGAAGCTGAGTACTATATTATTATTTCTCCTGTATATTCTTGAATTTTTATTATAAGAGCAACTAAAATGTATAAATTAGAAACTTATTATGTTAGATAATGGAAAAATTTAAGTAACATTTTTTTCGAGAGCAGCTGGTGCGTTACGTAATTAGATAAGATAACATAAGCTGCACGTTCGCCGAGTGATTTACAACTTGTGTGACGGGATGCTTAGTTAGACGCCATTCAAAGGACAATAAAACAATAAATTTAAGTATATATAGATGTATACTGTTATGAGATATAGTATGGAGACTCTGATGTTTACTTTATGGTTACGAACTCAACTCGGTCACATCAACCGAACCCGTAGCCAGAAGGTTCATTCCTTCATTCCTGCCTCACTCTTACACAATATTATAAGAAAAAAATATATAGTTTCTCTCCCCAGTCCCTTGTCACCGTAAATAGTTATTGCATGGTCTACTGAGCCTTTCACTTCTGAGAAAGTTACAATCTACTAAAAGGTAAGGGGATGGTTTAGGTATCTCCTGAAAAGAGGAGGGATGGCATCTCGCCCTACTTCAAGCACTGGACTATACACACACACACAGCCTAACAGACTTTTAACTGAAATAATATATATATTACATACTATCTCTAATTATTGAGGAATTTAATAAACTCTACTTAAGAGGTTTAATTCAATTATCAGTAATAATTATTTGTGACATTTGTTTTGTATACTGGTATAGGGTTACGTTCGTTTTAAAAAAATGGGCAAATAATGAGATTAAGTGCTTTGTTAGGAATAACCTTTTCTTCACTTTCTTATCATAGTTAATTTGATTGAATGTATTGATTAAAACTGATTTTTTTGTATACTAAACCTTTCTGGTAACTTGATTACAAATACTTTCATAAAGAGAATAATGTGTTCTTTGCATAGTGTTTTGATTGAAGCCTATTCTAGCAAAAAAGATATAATTTGGTTTAAATAGATATGTCCACGGACTTACAACGCTAGAAACCGGGTTTTGATACCCGTGATGAACAGAGAACAGATAGCCCATTGTGTAGCTTTGTGCTTAACTTTAAACAAATACACGATATCCTATAACCCGAGGGCTTTCTTTCTTCAATTTACCCTTTGAAAAAGAAAGTTTTTCTTTACTGGTTTGCTTGTTGTTTTTAATGCAATGTTTCAATAGACATAGGAAGGTTGTATTTATGACCAAGTTCTAAGTACAACCCACTGTAATATTGATTGTTTATCTATTATTAGCTGGTAATTTCTGTTTCGCCCTGTACTTAAGCTTTTTAAATGATTACCAAGTTTCAGTAAAAAAGCTAA